AGCAAAAAATGGGAAAAAACTTTAATTTCGTTTTGAAATCACGTATGTATGTACAACTCACGACGAGAAATTTAATGATGCAAAGAAAACGTCAATCTGACTATTAGTTTCGAAATTATACGCTTGAAACCAAATGAAGCCCAAATCTCGAAATTGGGGCAAAGAATGTGAAAAAACTTAATTTCGTATTTTCTTTCTGAAATCACGTACGTAAATACAACACTCGGCGAGAAAATTAATGGTGAATAGGAAACCTAAATCTGACTAAATTAAGCCCAAATCCCAAAATTGGGGCAAAAAATGGGAAAAAAACTTAATTTCGTAATTTCTTTCTGAAATCACGTATGTAAGTACAACTCCCGACGAGAATTCTTTGGTGCAAAGCTAACGTCAATCCGACTATTAGTTTCAAAATTATGCGCTAGAATTCATTTGAAGCCCAAACCCCTAAATTCGAGCAAAAAATGGGAAAAAACTTTAATTTCGTTTTGAAATCACGTATGTATGTACAACTCACGACGAGAAATTTAATGATGCAAAGAAAACGTCAATCTGACTATTAGTTTCGAAATTATACGCTTGAAACCAAATGAAGCCCAAATCTCGAAATTGGGGCAAAGAATGTGAAAAAACTTAATTTCGTATTTTCTTTCTGAAATCACGTACGTAAATACAACACTCGGCGAGAAAATTAATGGTGAATAGGAAACCTAAATCTGACTATTAGTTTTAAAGTTATACGCTTGAAATCAATAGAAACCCAAATCTTGAAATTCGGGCAAAAAATGGAAAAACTTAATTTATTACATTCTTTCTGAAAATCAAAATTCTCTCAAAATTGAGGGGAAATATGGAAAAAATCTAATTTCGTAGTTTTTTTTGAAATCACGTATGTAAGTACAACTCTCGACGAGAAATTCAATGGTGCAAAGGAAACGTCAATCTGACTATTAGTTTCAAAAATATACGCTTGAAATCATATAAAGCCCAAATCCCGAAATTCGAGCAAAAAATGGGAAAAAACTTAATTTCGTAATTTCGTTCTGAAATCACGTATGTAAGTACAACTCAAGACGACAAATTCAATGGTGCAAAAGAAACTTCAATCCGACTATTACGGTCGAAATAATACGCATGAAACAAATGAAGCCCCCAATCTCAAAACTAAGGCGAAAAGTTGAAAAAAAATCTAATTTCGTAGTTTGTTTCTGAATTCACGTATGTAAGTACAACCTTCGACGAGAAATTCAATGATGGAAAAAAACCTCATTCCATTTATTAGTATTGAAATTATACGCTTGAAATAAAAAATGTTCAAATCCCAAAATAGGGGCAAAAAATGGGAAAAACTTAATTTCGTAATTTCTTTCTGAAATCACGTATGCGAGTACAACTCTCGACGAGAAATTCAATTGTGCAAAGGAAACGTCAATCCGTTTATTAGTGTCGAAATTATACGCTTGAAACCAAATGAAGTACCAATGTAAAAAATTGAGTGGGAAAATTAAAAACACCTAATTTCGTAGTTTCTTTTTGAAATCACGTATGTCAGTACAACTCTCGACGAGAAAATCAATGGTGCAAAGGTGACGGCAATCCGACTATTAGTTTCAAAATAATGCGGTAGAATTTATATGAAGCCCAAATCCCGAAATTCGGGCAAAAAATGAAAAAAAAATAGTACATTCTTTCTGAAATCACGTATATAAGTACAACTGTCGACGAGAAATTCAATGGTGGAAAGGAAACATCGATCTGACAATTAGTTTCAAAATTATACGCCTGAAATTAAATAAAGCCCATACCCCGAAATTCGGGCAAAAAATGCGAAAAAACTTAATTTCGTAATTTCTTTCTGAAATCACTTACGTAAGTACAACTCTCGACGAGAAATTCATTGGTGCAAAACAAACGTCAATCCGACTAGTAGTTTCGAAAATATACCATTGAAACCAAATGAAGCCCATATCCCAAAATTGGGGCAATAAATGGGAAAAAACTTAATTTCGTAATTTCTTTCTGAAATCACGTATGTAATTACAACTCTCGACGAAAAATTCATTGGTGCAAAGGAAACGTCAATCTGACTATTAGTTTCAAAAATATACGCTTGAAACCAAATGAAGCCCAAATCTTGAAATTCGGGCAAAAAATGTGAAAAAACTTAATTTCGTAGTGTCTTACTGAAATCACGTATATAAGTACTACTTTCGACGAGAAATCCAATGGTGCAAGGTATACGGCAATCCGTCTTTTAGTTTCGAATTTAAGCCCTTGAAACAAAATGAAGTCCAAATCCTAAAATTCGGGTAAAAAATTGAAACACCCTAATTTCGTGGTTTGTTTCTGAAATCACGTATGTAAGTACAACTCTCGACGAGCAGTTCAATGCTGAACAGAAGACGTCAATCCGAATATTAGTTTCGAAATTAAATTCTTGAAATCTAATGAAGTCTAAATCCCAAAATTCGGGTAAAAAATTGGAAAAAACCTAATTTCGTAATTACTTCCTGAAATCTCTTATGTAAGTACAACTCTCGACGGGAATTTCAATAGTGCAATGGAGACTTCAATCCGACTATTAGTTTCGAAATTAAGCGTGTGAACTCAAATGAAGCCCAAATCCTGAATTTTAGGCAAAAAACTGAAAAAAGCTCAATTACATAGTTTCCCTCTGAAATCACGTATGTAAGTACCGCTCTCGATGAGAAATTCAATGGTGCAAAGCACACGTCATTCCGACTATTAGTTTCGAAATTAAGCGTGTGAACTCAAATGAACCCCAAATCCCGAAATGCGGGTACAAAATTGGAAAAAACCTAATTTCGTAGTTTCTTTCTGAAATCACATATGTAAGTACAACTCTCGACGAGAAATTCAATGCTGCAAAGCAGACGTCAATCCGACTATTAGTTTTAAAATTAAGCGCTTGAAATCAAATAAAGCCCTTATTCCGAAATTGGGGGGAAAATTGGGAAAAATTTAATTTCGTAATTTTACTCTGAATTTCAAGTATGTGAGTACAACTCTCGACGAGAATTTCAATGGTGCAATGCAGACGTCAATGCGACTATTAGTTTTGGTATTAAGCGCTTGAAATCAAATAAAGCCCTTATCCCGTAATTGGGGGGAAATTGGGAAAAACCTAATTTCGTAATTTCCCTCTGAAATCAAGTAGGTGAGTACAACTCTCGACGAGAAATTCAATGGATCAAACCAGACTTCAATCCGACTATTAGCTAAGGAAATGCGCGTGAAAAAATTGTGCCCGAATTAAGAAATTTGGTGGAAAAATAGGAAAAATATTAATTTCGACGCATCACTCTGAAATCACGTATGTGAGTACAGCTCTAGAAGAGAAATTCGATGGAGCAAAGAAGACTACAATCCGATTATTTGTTTAGGAATAACGCATGAAACAAAATTGTGCCCATATACAGAAATTTGGTGAAAAAATTGAAAAATATTTAATTTCGTCGCTTTGTTCTTAAATCACGTATGTGTATACAACTTTCGTTGAGAAATTCAATGGAGCAAACCAGACTTCAAAGTGACTATTAGTGTAGGAAATACACGTGAAACAAAATTGTGCCCGAATTCAGAAATTTGGCGGAAAACATTTTGAAATTCAATAATGTATATGAAAAATGCCCGTTGCGTAAATAGTAACTATCTAAGCGATATATTGAAAATTACACTTGAAAAGTTTTTGAAAAATGTACACAATACATTTAATGTATTGTGGGTTTCATGTCATATTATTTAGTGGATTTATCACTATCCATTTACAAAGTTTCAAGAAAATTTTAGGGCCTTTTTTACAAAATTTTATTTTAAAAATTCCCTTTATTTCACGCGATATTACACCAAAACTACTCTTTTTGTGAAACTAATGTACAAACTTTCGAAATTTTCAAAAATTTAGAAAATTTATCGAAAATTCACCTTTGCAATTTTTATAAGCATGAAAAAAGCTGGATCCTAAAATGTGGATGCGTCTTGAGAAAAAAATTGGAAGCCTCGATACTTTAACAATAAGTACAAATGGACAGTGAGAGAGCGAAAAACCTTTGAAGCAAATTATTACCATTATTACGCAATGAGTAGATTAATCGGATACCGTGACCAAAAAACTAGCAGCAGTATTATTTTGTAACAAGTACATAGTAAAGAACACAGTTTCGCCCAGAAACAACACTTCACTTACTTGGCTCGATCAAGAGTGGAATATACAGTGTTCTAGGCTGAATTTTTTACAATTTAATACAGTATATCAGATGCCCAAAAAGCTGGAAATTCAAACAATATCTGGGGGAAAGAGAATAGAAATTTACAGAACTGCTTAAAGAAAGAGATCATCCGAATGGGTTGTAGCAATAATCAGGTTAGCTAAGAAACCATTACACGAAGCGTTTACAATGTACAAACGTTACGTTACAACAATACCTTTAAGCTTGTGTACAAAATTTAAAGAGTGAAAATATGATAATTGATCATGGCTACAGTAATGAAATTTTACTTAATTTATTAGACAAAATACAGAATCTTTATAAATAATGCTATTATGAAGAGAAAATTAGAAATATTGTTCACAATACATTAGCCTCAAATTCTTCTGATTTGGTAGATATTAAACCTTTAAACAAAATTACACTTTAGAACATTGCTTTTAAAGGGATTAAATATTTCTAAAGTACATCACAGGAATATATATATATATATATATGTATATATAAAGTTAATAACTGCAAAAATTAGGTATTTACACTCGTGACCAAAAGTAGCCTGTACAACTTTTCCAAATATTTCTCACTTTAATGGAAAAATAGGCATTGAACTTAACAGAATTATACCACTTAAACATTATTATATGGCGAATATATACTTGCAAATCGATTAGCAGGAAAACACAAGTGTTTTAATACATAGCTATTATGTGTATTGAAAACCCCACATGAAAATACATCGCTTGGCTTTTGTAGTACAAAGGCATTACTTACGTCCCTCTGGCATGATGGCTGCTCCTCCCTGAGTTGGTGAACGCGTATGCAGCTGCCTTCTCACTCGCCGTCGCCTCCGCCCTCACCACACCGTCACAGCAGCGTCCCCGCTTTCCGCTCAGCAACCGCCGCCGTTGCTGAGACCCGCAGCCCGCTCCGAAGATCCTGCAACATGGGACGAACGTTAGCGTCTGGGAGAGATGTGGGGCGTTCTCGAAAGGCAATGGAGTTCGTGATGGCAATTCCCAACAAAAGTGTTACTTGGGAGAAAAAAAAAAGTATCTTCCAATTGGGGTTACACGATTTAATATATTGATTTAAGTCAAGACGTTAAATTGTTTCAGATAAGGTATTGGTTGCGGTTATACTTTTTTTTGGGGGGGGGGTTAATACGTATTGAAATTTTCGTTATGTGGATCCTTACAGAATATACATAACTCGTTTTTTCACCAAGTGTCTGTCAGTCCGTTCGCTTCTGAACTACAACAGCGCCTAAATCGTACACAAGATTTACACCATTTCTGTTCCCACATCAATCTGCCCAATATTACGGACACTAGCATTTAAAATGGGTATTTTATTTTGGGAGTGTTCTTAGCAAGAAATCCCTAAGACATTTCCGAAATGTTAAAAATGCCTCAAAATTCATTATTTTTTCCAAATAGAGCAAAGGATGCTTATAAAAATTGGCTGATTTTCAAGAAAACCTCCGTAATTTTGAAAAATCACATAAATCGAAAGAACGTCAGCAGTTTAAGAAGAATGCGTCACTTTTACCCCATGTGTTCCCTTTGTGCACAAGATTATAATGTCCATTTGTTATTTTTCAAAAATGTTGGCTTCTGTTGTGTCTACGTATTTCGCTCCGCAGTTACGATTATTAATATCTGCGATATTCTGGTCGTGACCAACGCCAAAATTGACAACAAATTGCAGCAACATCAATTACTTTTTAAAATCAAGTAGACAATGCTTAAACTCAATCCATCATTTTAGTGTTGTAGGAACACTATGCGATAGAAACGCTCTATGAAGTATTACGTATCTCGATTTAACATATTTCAGAAAAACATGCCAGAAAAAATTAAAATACGGAAAGAACGTGTTTCTTATTCCCCGTTTGAATGTCGTTTGGTCTCGCTGGTAAGACTGATAAAGTCATTCAGTTGATGATACGGCGCAAGCGATACAAAATAGAGCCCTCACACTCTGCGATGAATTGCAATAACATCTGCACAAGTACAGCTTTGTCGGTGAGGTTTGTCCACATACAATCAGCGTCCTACAAATATTGACACTCTATACATCAGTTTTCTGCTTGCGTTGCCTTCCAAGAAAGTTTCCTCTTGCCGACGGAATATACTCGTAATATCCACACGAGTATTTGGGCGTCTAAGAATCGTCACACGCGCGTTTAATTTTGTAAAATGTGTTGGAAATATTTATTCTGGGTCCGTCGAACATATTTTTCGAAAATTATACGCCAATTTGTGTAAAGCAGTAACTCTTCGAGCAGTGGCATTTATATCCGGCCACTGCTCTCATTTTCCCACCTTCCTCCACAAGAACCCAGCAGCTGATGGCGTCAGAAAAATACTCTGACTATGCCTTGCATATATTTTGTACGTAAAGCACGTGGAACAATACAAAATTCCAGCGTTGAATTAATGTGTACATTCCCGTGTACATACGCATATGCGGAGTAATGTACGAAGTACAGAGAAAGTTATGTAATTCTGCGCGAAAGAACTGTGGATTTTCGGTAGCAAAAAAATTAATTGCCGAGCTTGATATCGAAAAAAATGAATACATCCAGTTGCTAAATTAAGAAAAAAATCCTCTAACACGTGATGTAGCCAGAATCCTTATTTGTTGGGACCTTGATACCGAAAAATCAATTGGCGGCAAAACGTGCGTCAGTCCGTCTGTGAACACTACTAAACCACGATTATAATTTTTTTTTCCAAATTGAACAAATCCCTGTCCATCTGGCTCGACTCGAAGCTTCAAGATTTTGAAAAACATTCTTTAAAATTTGGGGGTACTTTACATAAAGCCCCCCGGACATTTTCAAAATGTTCTCGAAAACGGCTCCAAATTGTTTCTTTAAATTTATTTTAAGAATAGAGTAACATACGATAAATAAATAAATATATTGTCAGGTATCAATATTTTAATTCAACTTATGATCATTTCGATTGCGTAGCGATCATCTTCAGAGCTAAAATGTGAAATACAAATATTATAAACAGGTTGTAGTTATTGTCTGCAAGATGCGTAAGCAAACTGGATCGTACATACCTTGCAGTTTGCTTACGCATCTTGTAGACAATAACTACAACCTGTTTATAATATTTGTATTTCACATTTTAGCTCTGAAGATGATCGCTACGCGATCGAAATAATCATAAGTTGAATTAAAATATTGATACCTGACAATATATTTATTTATTTATCATAATAAAAAGGTATCTACTTCACCAACAATCCAATTAAAGAGTAACATACACTTATAAAAGTAGTATTGGTCGGATTTTCACGGTTAACTCTGGAATTTCGAAAATGGCAAAAGTATGAATATTTTTCGCTGTCTTTCTCCAACTATGAAAAAAGGAATAGTTACGGCACACTGAAATACAGTCCTCCCTACCAGAATCAATAGTAAAATTTGGCCCAGCTATTTTTGTGGTTGACGCACCGTATGCGCCATGTGTGGACCTCAAAACCATCAACTGTTTCTGGTGGTCCCTTCGCCTACGTAGTACCCTGAAATGTTTGCAATTCATGGTTGACTCTCTCGGAACTTCGGCAAGTAGCTTCACATCCCACATTTTTTCGCCACTACAAAAAAATAAAGTATACCAACAATGAAATTATTTGAATCAACCCATGTTTGCTTGAAGTTTTGCCTTGTTTTATACCCTAATCTTTAAATAGTAAATTTGAATCCAGATATTGTAACATTCATTTTTTAAATGCAAAATTTGAAAGCACTTGTTTTTTGAAAACTTGACAATAAAAACAGTTGCTGAATAGAATTTGATACATTAAGATTAAATCTGAAATATTTCATATTTTGCCAAATATTTTCTCTAACATTTAATAGCGAGAAATCTCTTACCTACCCAACAAAAATCAAAACAAAATTAAGCAAAATTCAATTATATTGAGTATTTTTTAAATACGATTGGTGTTATTTCATTTCTTTGAATTAATTTATTTGTTCCCTTGTTTCACTTAACTCTTTAGGAACATGTGGCGCACAACCATAAATAAATGAAAGTTTCAGTTTTTTACATTTCATAAAACTAATTTATTCGTTCTAACCTTTACTTATTGATAGCTGTGTGCTGCAAATTGCAAATGACTCCAGTGAAACAAAAGTATGAATAAATTAATACAATACAACTCAATCACATTAATCTTATAAGTTTCGCAGGCATGAAAGCCACAAACAGGAAAATGAACAAATGTGATAGCATTTGAAATTCATAAATTTGGGGAATCAATAAGAGAAAACACTTGATGGATATATTTTCAATTCCAAACTGTATTTGAAATAATTTACATTATTTTTTTATACATTTTCAAAATGAACAAGTAAAGCTCATAATTGTCATGAGCCACAAAAGACGAAACATTTCAATGAAGCCAAATTTAATTAGGTTATATCAGTTCTAAGAGATCCTGAAAAGTAAGATACCAGTTTTGCATTTGAGAATGCCTTGAATTTGCTCACATAGTAAAAACCAGACATGTGTGCACTTGAACATTTTGGAAGGGGCACATAGCCCTGTGTAATAAAAATAATTCATGCAGTGCTTACTTTAGGATATGGAATATGACAAAGAGATCAAATTCAAATCCATTGTATTTATGCACATTATTGATATTTTATTGAACTTTCAATTATTACTTGCAGGTCCTCAGTGTTCAACGAAGTTCAAATTAGTCTAGTCAAATAAGTTTCGTGGTCCAAAAACAATGTAAGCATTCTTAAAGAAGAAATAATAATTACAAAAGGAAACAGCTTTTATAAATACATTTATCATGATCACTTCTTAATGTCAAATCCAAACTATAGTAAGAGTTCCCAAATTATAAAGTTTTATTAAGAAAGCGCATAGA